TGGAGGTTCTCTGGGTGCTCCGTCTCGACGGGAGCCACTCTCTCCACAGGAGGTGCGTGAGTGGTTTGCCCGGCGCTGGAGGCGTGCTGCTGGAGCTGGAGGTTCTTCGGCTGCTGAGGGTGCTGGTGCCACTGGTCCCGGAGGTGCTCGTACTGGGAGTACTGGAGCTGCTGGGCCTGCGGGTACTACTGGAGCTGGAGCCACTGCGTCTTCTCGTGGTCCGACTGGAGCTGGAGCTGCTGAGGGTGTTGGCGCTGAGGGTACTGCTGGCGGTACTGGAGGCGGTCCTGCTGGGGGTGCTACTGGTGCTGCTGGAGGTCCTGGAGCTACTGGAGCTGCTGGGGGTACTGGAGTTGGAGGTGTTGCTGGCGCTGGTGCTACCACTGGGGGTACTGGTGCTGTCCCTGCTGTGTCTGGAGTCGCTGCGCGGCCTCGGCCGTACTTCGTTCCGCTTCTTGAGCAGGTTCTTGGTCTCCCGCCTTCTACTGGTCCTCCTCCTCCCTTAGAGTGTCCACAGCTTGTCCCGTCACAGTTACAGTTACAGCCGGCCTCCCCACTGCCTGCTCCTTCTCCCTACACTGGTCCTACTGGAGGTCTTGCTGAGCGTCGTGAGCCTGCGTCTCGTCCTGCGTCGCCTGTCCGTGCTGCTCGCGCTAGTGGTCGTGGTTCGCGTCAGCGTCCTCCCCCTGTGCCCGGCACGCACCGGATGTCTCTCCGTCCGTCCACTGCTCCTCTGCGTGCCCCTTTGCCTTCTCCTCCTGAGTCCTCTCTTCCTGCTCTTGCTGACCCGGAGTCGGACTCCCTTCGTGCTGCCAGTCCGACTGTCACGCGTCTCCTTGCTACTGTTGTCACTGACCCTTCCTTTGAGTCCACTGCTGCGTCTGCCCTAGTTGCTGAGCTCGTCGACTTTGCTGCTCGCTGTCGTCTAGACTACGCTGCTAGTCTTGTTGCTGCGTCTGAGTCTGTCTGTCCTCCGTCCGTCGGGGGTGAGTGTGCCCTTGGCACGGACGTCCTTGAGGACAGACAGGAGGAGTTCCAGTGTTTGGCTGCTGCTTCACCTCATCTCGTGTCCGTACTGCTTACCCCTGAGGGAGACCCGGATGCACTTGACATCCCGACTCCGCGCTCTTACGCGGAAGCGATAGAGGGTCCCTACTCCTCTCAGTGGCAGGCAGCTATGGACGCAGAGATGGCTTCCTGGAAGTCCACAGGCACCTACGTTGACGAGGTTCCCCCGCCTGGGGCGAACATCGTCAGTGGCATGTGGATTTTCAGGGTGAAGCGGCCGCCGGGTTCTCCGCCTGTCTTCAAGGCACGTTACGTGGCTCGTGGCTTCAGTCAGCGGCAGGGAGTTGACTACTTTCAGACCTTCTCTCCCACCCCGAAGATGACCACTCTTCGGGTACTGCTGCACATAGCTGCTCACCGTGACTACGAGCTACACTCTCTTGACTTCAGCACTGCTTTCTTGCAGGGCAGCCTACACGAGGAGATCTGGCTGCGCCGCCCACTTGGCTTCACTGGGACTTTTCCTCCTGGCACCCAGTGGAGCCTCCGGCGGCCAGTCTACGGTCTCCGCCAGGCACCGCGTGAGTGGCACAACACACTGAGGACTACGCTTGCGGCTCTTGGGTTTGCTCCCTCTACTGCCGACCCGTCGCTGTTTCTGCGCACCGACACTTCTTTGCCGCCGTTCTACATCCTCGTGTACGTCGACGACTTGGTCTTTGCCACAGCTGACACTGCTGGACTCGCCCACGTGAAGTCCGAGCTGCAGAAGAGACACACGTGCACAGACCTGGGTGAACTGCGCAGCTACCTTGGCTTGCAGATCACCCGGGACAGAGCACGCCGCACCATTACCCTGACTCAGTCACACATGGTGCAGCAGGTCCTTCAGCGCTTCGGCTTCACGTACTCCTCGCCTCAGGCCACTCCTCTGCCTACTCGTCACTCGCTCTCAGCTCTGCCTTCGGATGAGTCCGTAGAGTCGAGTGGCCCGTACCCAGAGCTTGTTGGCTGCCTCATGTACCTGATGACCTGCACTCGACCTGACCTTGCATACCCTCTTAGCATTCTCGCACGCTATGTTGCTCCTGGGAGACACAGACCGGAGCACATGGCTGCAGCGAAGAGGGTGTTGCGCTACTTGTGCAGTACGTCGGGCATGGGGCTTGTGCTTGGAGGGCAGAGTCCAGTGGTCCTCACTGGGCACGCAGACGCTTCTTGGGCTGACGACCAGGCTACGCAGCGGTCGTCACAGGGTTACACCTTCAGCCTTGGTTCCGGCTCTGTCTCGTGGCGGGCTACCCGCTCGTCTTCTGTTCTCGGCTCCAGTTGTGAGGCTGAGATCTACGCAGGGGCCATGGCTGCACAGGAGCTTCGCTGGCTCACCTACCTGCTGACTGACCTCGGAGAGCCGCCTCGTTCTCCTCCAGTGCTGTACGTAGACAACAAGGCCATGCTGGCCTTGTGTCGGGAGCAGAGACTGGAGCACAGAACGAAGCACATTGCTCTTCGCTACTTCCTTGCTCGTGAGCTACAGCAGTGTGGTCAGCTACGCCTTGCGTACGTGGCCTCTGAGGCCAACACTGCTGATATATTCACCAAGGCACTTGCGCCTTGTGATCATCAGCGCTTCTGTACTCAGCTGGGTCTTGTGCCTACCTTGCCTCACTTGCTCACCCCTTGACCTTGTTTGTACTGTTACATATATATATATACACCTGCTCTTGCTTGTTTAGCCTTATATATATATGTAATCCTGCATGTGAACTGGCCTTGTGGCCTTGAACTTGTGCTCGGAATGTGTGGTGACGTTGTGATCCACCCTGAGCTTGCTTTGCTTTGCTTGACTGGTCTTGTGACCCCTTGTCCTCCCCCACTTTGCCTATGGGGGTGTGTCAGATTTATATGAATTAGCTGCTGTAGGCTATAGTGGGGTAGCACATATGGGGTACAGCTTTCTAGGGTTTGTACTTGTACCCAACTTTCCCTTAGTCCTTTTCATTCATCGTTCATTTTCACATGGTATAGAGCAGGTTCCCCTGTGGGAACTGTTCCTAGGGCCCACCAACTTTTTTTCCTGCCCGGAGCGCGCTCAGCCTCTGCCCGAGTCGCGCTCCCCTCTCACGTTCAATCATGGCTTGCGAATGAGTGGAGCTACCAGCAATAATCGTGATTCGCGTCAGTCCCAACACGTAATGTCGAGTCCGCACGTACTATTTACCACTGTGGTCCGTAGTGTGGGATAGAAGCCATGTAGCAAGAGGTTCGCGTATAACGGCCGGGGCGCCTTGCCGACCACTTGGTGTAGTCGCACGACCAACCCAACGGGGTCTTCCGCGAAACAGCAGATCGTCGAACAGTCAAAGTTACATTTAGATTATAAAATTTAACGATTCATACATCTTCATGTAGCTAATAACGTCCGTTCAAGGCAAGTAAGATGTCTTCAATAACGTGACTTGTTCATCATTTATCTTGGCTCGATATCGGTATCCGTCGCGCTCCTTATCGCATTTCATCGTCAGTTGCACTTCATCGAGTCGATTCGCCAGCGGTAGTACGCATAGTAGGTTAAAATATGGGTATGTTTTCTTGTCCTCCCGTTACAAAGGCGGTACTTGTATCACTCGTTGCACTCATGACGACGCTGGCAATGGAGTCCCGCGCCCACCCCCTCGGCCCGAGCAGCAAATTTTCCGCGCGAAACACGTTGCCTGAAGGCATCTCTAAGCGCGCAATGCAGCGCTTTATGCGGGGTCCTGATGGAGGAATGCCCGAATCTCATGCTGATTCTGCCACATTGCAACGAAACGGTGCCATCGCGACAGTGGCGACAAGGTGGGCCAACGTAAGTCACCCGGCGACGCCGTCTCATGGACGAGTCAGCGCATCAAGTGCGTGACGCTGAAGCCGGCAAGGAGGCTCAAAGACTTCATTTCCTCCTCGCCGAGTTCCAGCTGCTCGACGCTGGGACGCCGACCGTCCTTCGCTTGAGCGAAGCCGACGTTGCCAACTAACATGCAAGGTGTGCAGCCGACAAGGCTCGGTGGTCGGCGCTGACTTGGGGGTAGCAAGCCGGCTTGGTTGGCTGACCTCAGTGGAGCCGACTTCGGTGAAGCCGACTTGTGCGATGCCAACTTTGTGATCGGCCAAGTCGGCTTGGCTTGCCAACTTGGAAGATCAAGTCATCGAGGTCAACCAACATCATTGGTGAGCCGACTTGGAGGAAGTCGGCTACAGCGGAACCGACTTCAGCCATGCCAGCCGTGGCGTTGGTCGACGAGGTGAAGTTGGCGATGACATGACGCCGACTTAAGTGGCGCCGACTTGTGGACGTCGGTGGCCCCTGGTCGACGGAGTAAACTGACCAACGAAGTTCCACAAGGGTGCGCGAATGTTGTCCAGGTGGTTTTGGAGAAGCTGACTTACGTGGCAACATCACATGCGCACGAGGTCTACGTGGTGCATCAGGCGCAACCGTCGGCACGTGTCCGACTTGGGACCTGTGTAATGGTCGGGACGGTGGACGACGGGATCAACCGTCGACTCGCACATGCGAAATGGTTGCGCACATGCGCTATGGTCATAAGCGGTCGCAATGCTTGCAAGCCGCCTTGGTGCAGCGCTGACAAGTCGCCGACTTGCAGTGCTAGCAAGGCGCCATCGAGCTGCGTTGGCAGGCCGCCGACTTGCTGCGCTGGCGGTCTACCTGCCTCTCTGCTAGGTTGCTATGTTCCTAATGAAGTCATTCTTGCCTACCGTTATGCTATCATTTTTCAAGCTTTTGCTAGTGAAATTATTGCTGTTTTTGCCCCATGAACGCACAAGTGCCAGAGAACACAACGAACGTTACGATCACTCGTACCACCCGTTCCTGCTCCATAGTCTAGCTCCCACTGGTGTAGAGTGACTATTCGCATTTTTTTCCTTCCCTTCTCAACATTTTTGTACTAATCGATCTGTCCTCGTGGCATTAGCAGCAATCGCTGGTCTCATGGAGCATAACCATCACTAGCACCATAGTTGCTAGCACTAGTGGCACCACCATCACTCCCCATTGATCCATCTACCCCATCCCCTGGCTCGCCATTGGCTGTGAGAGTCATATGTCAAAACATTGTTGTTATGTTTACTTAGGCTGTAGTGGGTTTAGACTTAGGGGTTACAACACTTCTCTCTACTTTGTACTTGTACCCCCCCCCTTTGACCTAATGCACATCATTCCTATTTCGGATTCTGACATGGTTTCAGAGAAGGTCCCGTTCTAGGACCGTTTCTTTTTAGGGCCCACCGATTAGTTCCGTTCCTGGCCGACGTTTTCTGCCCTGTCCAGTACGCTATCGCGCTGCTGCCCTGCCGTGCCCTGCCCCGCATGCTTGCGCTGCCCCGCACGCGCTGCTCCGCACGCGCTGCCCCGCACGCGCTGCCTCGCATGCGCTGCCCCGCACGCGCTGCCCTGCTCGCCACGCGCGTGCCTTGCCCTGCCGAGCGCTTTCGCGCTACCCTGCCCTGCCCTGCCGTGTGCTGCTCTGCTGCCGCTCGTGCTGCGCTGCTGCCCGCGCTGCCCTGCTCGCCGCGCGCTGCCCTGCTCGCCGCGGGCGTGCCCTGCCCTGCTGCCCGCGCTGCCCTGCTCGCCGCTGGCGTGCCCTGCCCTGCCCCGCCGCGCGCTGCCCTGCCGCCGTGCGCTGCCCTGCTCGCCGCGCACTGCCCCGCTCTCCGATGGCGCGCACTGCCTTGCCCCGCTGCCCAGCGCCTGTGCGCGCCCTGCTGCCCCATAACCGCGCGTGCCTCGCTGCCCAGCGCATGTGCGTGCCCCGCTCCCCAGCGCCAGCGCGCGCCCCGCTGCACAGCGCCAGCGCGCGCCCCGCTGCTCATCGCCCATGCGTGTCCCGCTGCACAGCGCCCGCGCGCGCCCCGCTGCCCAGCACCAGCGAGCACTCTGCTGCCCAGAGCCAGCGCGCGCCCCGCTGCCCTGCGTCCGCGCGTGCCCCGCTGCCCTGCACCAGCACTCGCCCCGCTGCCCAGCGCCCACGTGCGCCCCACTGCCCAGCACCAGCGCGAGCCCTACTGCCCAGCGCCAGCACGCGCCCAGCTGCCCAGTGCCCGTGCGCGCCCTGCTGCCCAGCACCGCTGCCCTGTGCCCGTGCGCGCCAAGCTGCCCAGCGCGCGAGCGCCCCTGCCTGCGGGCAAGTGCCGCCTGTGCAACTGCTGCTGCGCTGCTTCTGCTGCTGCTGCTAAGCTACAGCTGCTGCTACTAGCTGCCACTGCCTGCCTTGGCCACTACCACTGTAGTACGTCAGCAGCAGCCAGGTGTACAGGAGTCTCTCTCGCCGCAGCAGCTTCGCGAGTGGGCTATCTGGTGGGGCAGTCCCGGTGGCGGAGCTAGCCATGCTAGAGCTGGAGGTGCTAGTGCTGGCGGTACTCGTACTCGTCGGCAGGAGACGCTCTCGTCGCAGCAGCTTCGCAAGAGGGCTGTCCGGTGGGGCAGCCCCGGTGGCGGAGCCTCGGGTGCTACTACTGGAGGTACCTGTGAGTCTAATCCTGCTGGTAGTGCCGCTGGTAGACGCGGAGGTTCTGGGGGTGGACAGCAGCAGCAGCAGCGTCCGCCGCAGACTCTCTCCCAGCAGCAGCTTCGTGAGTGGGCTGTCCGGTGGGGCAGCCCCGGTGGCGGAGGGTTTCCGGGTACTCGTACTGGGGGTGTAGAGGCACCTGGTGGCGTAGAGGCTGCTAGTCTTGGTGCTTTTGACTCAGCTAGCACAGGGGCAGAGCCTGAGGAGGCCTTGCACACTTTTACCCTAGACTCTGGCGCGTCTCGCTGCTTCTTCCGCGACAGCACCACAGTCACACCGCTCACAGCCACTGTCCCTGTCACACTGGCCGACCCCTCTGGTGACCTGGTAGTCGCGCGTGGCGCTACTGTTCTCCCATGTTCGGCGGCCCCTTCCGGCCTCCTCACAGGTCTCCATATCCCCTCGTTCACTAAGAACTTGGTGGCTACCTCTGTCCTCCAGGACCAGTGGGTCACTGTCACCCAGCCTGGAGGAGAGCTTGTGGCGATCTGTACGGACTCACGCACTGGCGAGCACCTCGCCACGTTCACTCGGAGGCCCGGGTCTAGTCTGTACACACTGACTACTAAGTCTCCACTCCTGACACTGGAGGTGCTACTGGAGGTACTGGAGTTGGTGGTGCTAGTCAGCAGGAGTCGCTCTCGCCGCAGCAGCTTTGCGAGTGGGCTGTCCGTTGGGGCAGTCCCGGAGGTGGAGCTGGAGGTACGGTTTCTGGGGGTGCTGTTGCTACTAGAGCTGGAGGTTCTGGGGGTGTGACTACTCAGCCGCAGCAGTCTGCGCTTAGTCACCTTCTCAGTCTCCTGCCTGCTGTTACCGAGTTCCCTGTTGCTGGCACTACTCCTCCGTTACTGTTTCCACCGCATGACCAGTCTCAGCCATAGCTATTGCCTCACTCCCCATTGCCTGCTCCTGCTCCTTACAATGCGGTGACAGAGTCTCTCACTGAGAGTAGAGAGCCTGCGTCGCGTCCTATCACGCCTGTCCGTACTCATCGTGCTGTGCGTCCTCGTCCTCCACCTGTCCCTGGCACGCACATCATGGCACTTCGTCCTTCCTCTGTTCCACAGCGTGTTGTCCTGCCGTCGCCTCCCACGTCTTCTCTTCCTCACGTTCCTGACCCTGAGTCTGACCTTGTCCGTACTGCCAGTCCGACTATCACTCGTCTCCTTGCCACAGTTGTGACTGGCCCTTCCTTTGAGTCTGCTGCAGCGTCTGCCTTAGTTGCTGAGCTTGTTGACTTTGCTACTTTGTGCCGCCTTGACTACGCTGCGAGTCTTGTTTTTTACTCTTCCTGTCCTCCGTCCGTTGGGGGTGAGATTGCTCTTGGCTGTGACGTCCTTAAGGACAGGCAGTTTGAGCTGGAGTGCCTAGCGGCCGCTGCACCTCATCTCGCGTCCATGCTACTTTGCCCTTTGGGAGACCCGGATGCACTGGACATCCCCACCCCACGTCCTTACGCAGACGCGATCACGGGTCCATACTCCTCTCAGTGGTAGATAGCCATGGACGCAGAGGTGGCCCTCCCTTCGCCGCCCTTCGCGGCCCCGTCGCCGCCTCTAGCGGCCCCGTCGCCGCCCTTCGCGGCCCCGTCGCCGCCTCTAGCGGCCCCGTCGCCGCCCTTCGCGGCCCCGTCGCCGCCTCTAGCGGCCCCGTCGCCGCCCTTCGCGGCCCCGTCGCCGCCTCTAGCGGCCCCGGCGCCGCCCTTCACGGCCCCTTCAGCCGCCAAGCAGCCGAGCCGCCGAGCTACCGAGCCGCCGAGCCGCCGAGCCGCCGAACCGCCGAGCCGCCGAGCCGCCCAGCAGCCGAGCCGCCCAGCAGCCGAGCCGCCGAGCCACCGAGCCGAGCCACCGAGCCGCCGAGCCGCCGAGGCCGCCGTCGAGCCGCCACTACCGAGCCGCTGCCGCCGAGCCGCAGTCGAGCTGCTACTGTTCCTACCGGCGCGCCCCGGCCCTACCCACCCGGACTGGTGAGAGCACTCCCTGCTAGACCACTGCTGTCATGGCTACCCCCAGTGTCCTTACCTTTGATGCTGAGGGTCGTGCTGTTGACTTTGAGGTCTGGGTCGATGACCTCCAGCTCTTCCTACAGTGCGATAGGGCAGACGGACTCTCCCTGTTCGATCTCACCTCTGGTGCCTCTCCTGCCCCGCCTGCTGATGCTGACAGCACTGTTCGCTCACAGTGGGCCACACGCGATGCTGCTGCCCGTCTTGCTGTGCGTCGCCACTTACCGACCGCTGAGCGTGCGCACTTTAGTCAGTACAAGAGTGCTAAGACCTTGTACGACGCTGTAGTTGCACGCTACTCTTCCCCTGCCACTGCTGCTCTTAGCCGCCTCATGCTGCCGTACCTGTTCCCTGACCTTGCAGCCTTTCCCACAGTCGCTGACCTCATTACGCACCTTCGCACTAGTGACACTCGCTACCGCGCTGCGCTTCCTGCTGAGTTCTGTGCCAAGAACCCTCCCCCTATGTACATCACCCTCTACTACATAGTCACCCGGCTCCCTGACTCCCTTCGCTTAGTCAGGGACCACTTCCTCTCAGTTTGCCCCACCACACTCACCGTTGACCTCCTCGAGGAGCGCCTCCTGGCAGCAGAGAAGAGCATAGTCGCTGTAGGAGCCTCTCGTGGTGACCCCCGTACCCCCGTCTTTGAGGGGTGTTCCCCCTCCCCCCTCTTGCCCTCTGTTGCTTCTGCTGCTGCGGCCGACCTCGTTGGCTTCGAGTCGGTCAGCGCTGCGTCTGCCCCTAGCGGGAGACGCCGCACCGGCAAGGGCAAGGGGGGCAAGGGCGCTGGACAGGCTGGCGGGGGCGGTGGAGGTGGCGGTGGAGGCAGTGGAGGGGGTGGGGGTGGTGGTGGGAGTGGTGGCGGGGGTGGAGGTGTCGGTGGCAGCAGTGGAGGCGGAGGAGGCGGCGGCGGTGGCAGTGGGAGCGGAGGCGGCGGAGGTGGCGGAGGCGGCGGCGGCGGCGGTGGAGCTGGTCGCGGCTCTACGCAGAGGAGTGGCTCCGGTGGTGGTCCGCGCCAGCTGCAGCAACGCACTCGTGAGACCCTGTCCCCCCAGCAGCTTCGTGAGTGGTACGTTGGGCGTCAGCGAGGTGGGGGTACTGGTCCCTGTACCTACGTCCTCCGTACCGGCGACCGCGCTGGTGAGCAGTGCGGGGGCTCGCACTCCACCCAGCGCTGCTTCGGCCGCCTGACGGACGCTTGGCGTCACCAGTTCCCTGACGCCACTGAGATCCCTCGCTGGGGAGAGCTGTCTAGGGCGGGGGTTGCTATCTTTGATCTTGACTATGATGCTATTCTTGCTGCCATGTATGCTGTGTCTAATAGTGATGAGGGTGACTGTTACCTGTGTGTTCCGCCTGACCCGGGCATTGAGGCTGCTGCTCTAGGTGCTGGTGAGGCTGCTGCTCTAGGTGCTAGTGCGTCTGCTGCCCCAGGTGCTGGTGAGTCTGCTCTCTCAGGTACCACATCGGCTCAGGCCTTCCACACCTTCACCCTTGACTCGGGTGCTTCCCGCTCCTTCTTTCGAGACCGCACCACGCTTACGCCGCTTAGTCGGCCGGTTGCGGTCTCCCTGGCGGACCCCTCTGGGGGTCCTGTCCTTGCTCGCTTCTCCACTGTCTTACCGTGTCCGGCAGCCCCCTCTGGCACCCTGTCAGGTCTCTACCTCCCCTCGTTCTCTACGAACTTGGTGAGTGGTGCTGATCTACAGGATGGGGGGGTTGACCAGTTCACTCCTGCGAGTCAGCGGGTGACCCACTGTACGTGTGCTCGGACGGGCCGACACTTGGCCACGTTTACCCGTCGGCCGGGGTCGAGCCTGTACACACTGACTACTGAGTCTCCTCCGGCTACTGCGTCTGGTCAGGTAGCCGCGTCTGGTCAGGTGTTTGCTGCCGCGTCCAGGTCTAGTCCGGCGTCTGCCCCGTGCTCGTGTCATCCTCTGTCACACGAGACTCTCCTTTGGCACCACCGCCTTGGTCACCCCTCCCTGCCTCGTCTTCGAGGTATGGCCTCCCGTACCCTTGTCTCTGGTCTCCCCCGGTCCCTCCCTCCCCTTCCTCCGGGGCCTGCCCCTACCTGTGTTCCCTACATCGAGGGCAGGCAGCGCGCCGCTCCTCACTCCTCCGAGTTCCCTCCGACAGAGGCTCCCTTGCAGACTCTCCACATGGACGTGTGGGGCCCAGCCCGCGTCCGTGGACAGGGTCACGAGCGTTACTTCCTTCTGGTCGTTGACGACTACTCGCGTTACACCACAGTCTTCCCCTTGTGCCGCAAGGGTGAGGTCACTGAGGTGTTGATCAACTGGATCCGCGCGGCTCGTCTCCAGCTCAGAGAGAGTTTCGGCTCGGACTTTCCTGTTCTGCGTCTGCACTCCGACAGAGGAGGTGAGTTTTCGTCTGACCTTCTGGGAGCCTTCTGTCGTGCACAGGGCATCCGCCAGACGTTCACGCTTCCGGCCTCTCCACAGCAAAATGGGATTGCTGAGCGCCGCATTGGCATGGTCATGGACGTTG